AAGTTAGCCCAAAGGGGTAATAAAATGTTGTCACAGTTGTGAAGGTTTCATAATTAATAATTTTGTGAACATGAGTTTGAAGATTTGTGGATGCCCAGATAGGGTTTTTTGAAGATGTTATTGAAAGAATGTTGGAACGCTTTTGTTTCAACAAGCTCTTTCTTGTTCATCACATGTCTTGTGGTAACTGCCTGTTTATTGGAGTTGATATTTCTGGGTTTATGACTGTCAGGTTGCAGTCTCTTCTTTGGATATTGTTAGGAGTAATTGTTGAGCAGTCTGCGGAAGGAAAGAAGCTTTCCATTTTAGCTCAGAGATAGTAGGAACTGCCGATGATGGAGTCTGAGATAACAAGGTGTTGAGCTGGATGAACACAGCAGGCCAGGCAGCATCAGAGGAGCAGGAAAGCTGACGTTTCGAGTCTTGACCCTTCTTTAGAAATGGGGGAGGGGAAGGGGACTCTGAAATAAATAGAGAGAGGGGGAGGCGATGATGGAGGGTGGATAAAGGAGCAGATAGGTGGAGAGAAGATGGACAAGTCAAGGAGGCAGGATGGAGCCGATAAGGGTGAGTGTAGGTAGGGAGTTGGGATGGGGGTTGGTCAGTTGAGGGAAGACGGACAGGTCAAGGGGATGAGGCTGGTAGGTAGGAAGTGGGGGTGGGGGGGGTTCGTCAGTGAGGTGGGAGGAGCGGATGGGGGGAGAAAAGATGGACAGGTCAAGGAGGCGGGAACGAGCTGGGCTGGTCTTGGGATGAGGTTGGGAGTGGGAATATTTTGAAGCTTGTGAAGTCCACATTGAGACCATTGGGCTGCAGGGTTGAACCCTTGAATGAATCATTCTTCCATGGTTGTTCACACTTCCTTCTGAGCATAACTTGTGCTTGGGATGGTAATCCCTTCTCCATTGCTGTTGCACAAAAATGCAACAATACAATGAGAAAATCTTGTTTTATTGCTTAACTCTTAATGGTCATGGATTTGATAGAATATACCATACATTCTGCTAAACTGTTTGAGTGCACATAGTGGACTGTTGATGAGATATATGTCACTCCCCACTTGGTTTGTTGTCAAACACTGTGTGATCCAGGACACTGAATAAACTAAAAATAGTGTGCATCGTGTCAACAATGGTCATACTTGTTGTGCTGCTAAATCATTGAACAAGGGAAAATTTCAAGAAGCAATGCATCACAAAGATGTAATCTGCTCCAATGCACTGTGAATAGATCAGTTACTGCTTTTGTCCAAGGAGTGGGTAGAACATTGTGTGGATGTAGAGGCTCTCTGGTCTGCTGTAGTGAATATGTTTGGGATGGCTCACAAACATTCACAAATTGTTCAATATCCTGATTCATGCCTGGCCAGTAACTGTCTTATATACTAGTAATCATACGTGTCCAATGTCCATTTGTCAATGGCATAACATGGACATATACTGACAGGCCATCCTGGGATATTGATCTTTTTGTTGCTGTTTTTTGGCAGTTGCCGATTGCAATTGTTCTCATCGGCTCTGGACAAAGTATAACAGTCTGACAACATTCTTATCTTCAGCTTTGCAGTCAAGAACATCAACATGTAGATCAGGAGGAATATCGTGGTCTTTGTGTAGTTGGATATCTGCTCAGTGTGTCAGATGTAATTATGCAGGTACCTGGTTTGTATCTCACTTCAAAGTCATATCCTTGTGGATCACTGACTGACTCAATTCCATCACATGCTCTGTTCTCCCTCAGTGGGTATGACTTTAAACTCCTGAATTGTTATAACAAGATCTGTGCATAATGCCATTTCTAGGCTGTTGGTATCTGTTGGAAGATTTCAGGAAGCTAAGATGTGCTTATGAATTTGGCACTGCAGCATGACTCTGCCAATGTGCAGAATTGGTGATCTATTATACACTGTGAGTCAGTGTCTCTTAGGATAGCAATGTGAGCCACTTGTTGAGGTACATCTTTATTGGGGTGCATAGTCGTAAAATGTTGGCATTACCAATGTCAATTTTAGCTTTTAATGTGTGTTATGTATCTTTTCAGGATATATGATATTGATGGTTGTAAAAGCTTCTGATCATCCTATACCATTGACATAGTGTATGTGGATATCGAATATCCAGAACAAAATAAGATAGAAAGCTTGGACATCTTCTGAAATTTACCCTTTGCTTGGTTGACTCTGACCCTCATTGATGTATTTTCATTTGAGCACCGTCTAAACACTTCCTTTGTTGCCAACGTGTTGTCTTGTTGGTCACCTGTATTTTCTTCTAGGGTTTGGCCTGGCCTTTGGAAGTAGATCTCCTGACCTTTGTGCCCAATGTCCCTTTGTACCCACACTTTACAGATGATGAGCTTTTCAGTAGGGATGATGAACTGCAGTGCTCACAGATCTTGTTGATTTTGATAAGCTTTGGGATCATGTGAGATTTGATCTGAAAAATATATATTGTTTGAACAATTGTCATTCAGTAAGTCTGTCACTGGATGCCCAACCCATAATGAGGTTTCTGCTAACTATTATTCCAACCTAAAACTTTGCACTATAGCATGTTAATCCACGTATCCCAAATTTTGGGTAAGGTATAAACATCGAACTACTCCTTCTTTAAGAACAAAGACTTTGTAGTTTTTATAAAAACTACTATTACTCATATGTCAGGAGCAGAGCATTCTAGCCTTCCAGCTTCCAGCTTCCTATGCATTGCATTAGCTTTGCGTTCCAGCACAAAAGAACAATTCAGCCTTTTGTTTTTAACAAAGTTAATCTTAGAAGTGTATCTTAGTTTGAAAGAGCTTACATTCTAATCAAAGATAAATTCATTTTATTTTCCTGGTGGTCAATGCCCTATCTACAGATTTGTCCAGCTGTCTGTACTTACAAAAACTGATGATGCTTAAGTGTGTCCACTTTACTGCTGTCCAAACTTGTTATCCAGTTGGTTTTCAATTAGTTTTCTGCCATTAAGATATTGGCATCTCTTACAGATAGACACTGCTGTTGCTATGGCTTGAATTTGCCTCCGACGAGGTGTTTAACCTAATCTAGCAACGCTTGTTATCTGATGCAACATATGAAACTGTGCATGGATATCATGGTATTAAAGAATCCAACAGACATTTATTAGAATTAAATATTGAGGACAAACGATACATTCCTCAGGCACTACCCTAACTGGCAATCCAATTAAATTAATCATAGCAAGTTTCTGCTATTTGCTCCAATTTGGGGCCTTTACAGAGATGTTTAAACTTAAGTTGATTTTTACAGGCCCAAAGACTACACTGCACTTTTTAAAAGTTTTAAATGTTCTGCATATTTAATTTACTGTCAAACTGCTTAGTGTGGATCAATGGAAATTGTGTGTGGTCCTGTATAATTTTCTCAAAAGCCATTTCCAGTCACTTGAAATTAGATTATTCACAGGTAGTAGCTCAGACGTTCATTAAAAACATTCATTTTTGTGATGAATCCACTTCCAGCTGTATTCATCACATTGTACCAGGTTGCTATTCTTAAATGTATCAAGATGGGCTGCAGCAGTTCAGTCAGCTCTCCATCAACTCATCAAGGGAAAATAGGGATGAGCAACAAATGCTGACCTACCCTGTGATGCCCCAGCTAACAAAGAATAAAAAAAAGATTTTTTCTTAATTCAAGTTGAACAAAAAGTACATTGCTGATTGGTTGAAGCTCTTCTATCTCTGATCCTACAAATAAGTATGAGTGGAAACCTCAAACATAAAAATCACTTCAGCCATAGCGTGTGCATGTGGTGCCTGAATTGTTCACTGAGTCCAAAACAAAACCTCTACAGTTTTTGGAGAAACATTGCAAATATGCAGCCTAAAATATCCACTAAAATATGTGATGGGATTGTGGACCATGCAGAATTTGAAAACTACAAAGCAGAGAACCATACTAAATCTAGTAGTAAGGTAATATTATTGTGAAAGTTTTGAAGGTTTTCCCAATTATGCTGAAAGGTATGAATAAAAACATAAGAAATAGGAACAGGAGTAGGCCATTCAGCTGCTCATGCCTGCTCCACCATTCAACAAGATGTCCCTCAGGCACAATCTCCTCTTTCATGCCATCAGAGCCATCAGCTCCATGATATTTCACAAATCTCTCTACCTCATCTGTAAATACTTTCATTGATTTAACCTCTACAAATCTCTGGGTAAAGAATTACAGACGTTCACCACCTTCTGAAAGAAGAAATTCCTTTACATCTTAGTTTTAAATAAGTGCCCCTTTATTCTGTAATTGTCCTCAAGTTTGAGATTTCCCAATGAGTGGAAACATCTCAGCATATATCCTGTCAAATCCCTTATAATTTTGTATGTTTCAATAGGATCACACCTCATTAAGACTTAACTTAGCCATTCTTGATAAGTCAACCCCTTCAACCCAGCAATCTGCCTGGCGAATCTCTTTTGAACCGCCTCCAATGCCAGCTGATCCCTTTATAAAATCATTTTTTAAAATATGGGGACCAAAATTGTACTCAGTGCTCCAGGGCCACCTCACCAACATCCTGTACCAGTTATTACAAGACTTCCTTGTTTTGAAACTTCAACCCTAGCAATAAATGCCAAAAATAGATTGGGAAGGCTTTAGATCATACCCATTTTCAATGAATTTGAAAACAAGACAAACTCAGAACTTCTTCTTGGGGAAGGTTGAATTAGAATATTAGACATGGCAAAAATTAGTCCAAAACATACAATAAGATAGTTGTATTACAAATAAACCCAAGTTCATTGATTGGAATCTTTTTCATTGCAGGAGTTGAGATTATTTATGTAAAAGCTGCAAATGCATTCCATCAACTTTACTTAGAATTTCTTGAAACCTGCACATTTAAAGCAAATTCAATCTCAGATGAGGTCTTGATTGCCCAGACTTGAAGTTACTTGAGTAATGGATGCATAGCTAACAGATTGCTGTCCTTCACCAGTTCTACTGATGCACCAATGATTGATTGTTCATTTAGAATGAAGAATCTATCGGATTATTTTACATGCAACTGAGAAAATTGGGCCAGCAACCTTGCTGTAGAACATCTCTTCAATGCCCTTGGTGTACAGCTCCTCAGCTATTGTTCAGCATTTTGTGACACTTAGAAATTAAACTGTAAATATAAACTTCTGCCAAGACAGAATGTAACCAACTGTTTGGAAGTGAGAATTACCTACAGCATTAACTTCATCCCAGTTCTGACTCGTCACTAATGTATTTGGAAGGAAATGCAAGTGAAATGGAAATTAAGATGGATTTGCAAACCCAAACAGCATAAATGCAAGTTACTTTAATATTGAAAATAAATTCATTGCAAATTTCAGCAATTTTCTCCTGTTTTCTTTTTTGCATTTAGCATAACAACCTTGCTACATTTCTCAAAGGACTACCACAGCATTTGCATATTATTGTGATGTATTTGATGAATCGTTAACAAGGTGCTTGCCATAGCAACGCAGCAAGATGCAGAAATGTGTGCACTCTCTCGAAGAAATAAAATCAGGACAAAAGTTACTAAAAACAAGAGATTTAGTAACTATTGTGGACAGCTATTTCAGATATATACTCTCCACAAGAAAACTTGATCACAAACTATATATCCCCAAAACATTTCTTATATTTTTATTAAGCACTTATAGGACTAAGAAGATATTAGATTTAAAAGCATATTTCTTTTCTTATGTGCTACAGGCTATTGTGATACATAAATATACAAGGATTTGCTGTGCAAGATCCAATCACTATTAATGTCAATGCATCATAATACTAGATGCAAACTCGGATTCTCACCATGTTGAATTTTCCCAATGTGCAATTTTGGGTGCAGCTTGAAAAGAGGTCACTAGCCTTTAAAGTGTGGGCATAAATTGAAAGAACAGCACATTCAAATTTGTAAGATTCTCAAGTTCAGATTAAGTTCCTCCCTGTAAAGAACAATGCGTATGAGTGTTTAGCATGTAAGACCTGCTTAATTCTGCCTTTTAAAAGCTGTTTTTCCTCTTCAAGCTACACCTACAAATAATGGGGCTGAATTTCATTAACATTTTCACAAGATATCCATTTTAAATATGGCAGATGTTATTTGATTTGGAATGGTTCAATGTTAAAATGCTGGGTTCTGATCTAAATTGGGATTTTCTACTCTGCACCATCCCCTTGGAAGGCCAGTGCTGAGGACGGCACAGAACTTTAATGTTAACATCCTGCGCTGGTTGTTCCTGTTTTACTGACTGACAAAGGCCTGGCTACAAATCCAGATACTATCTAATTAATGCTTCTGTGACTTGGATAGACACACATGGTATGGAGAGATTGATGAGTTTCCCTGAAGCAAACCTTCTGTTAATGCCTGCAGGCATGTCTCGAGTGGCAGACACACTGTAAAAAGCTTTAGATAGGTCTATAAACAGTACACACAAGTCTTGATGTGGTTTTGTGCTGAGTGGGGATATTGTACATGAATCTAGAATACAATGCCAGTGACAGTTGACTCCATGTGTCTATCTGGAATCAGCATGGCATTAAACTGAAGACTAGAAGCAAACTCGGACAGACTATTATCCTTACCACCCTCTGTAAGGCACAGAATCCTGATTCTGCTACTGCTGCCGTATGAGAATTCTACAGTGTTCAGCCAAGATACCTGAGGTCTGTGATAATAATTCTATAGCAGTTGAAAATCACAAACAACAATTAACATCATTGAGAGCATCGTCTATAAAATTCAACTTAGGTCAGCAGACCATACCTCCCACGTGGATAAATACAGGATCACGAAACATACTTGATATGGGGAAATAATATGGGAAGGTGGTCAGCACAAATGATGTTAGGTTACTATAATAAAAGAGCATTAGCAACTTCTGTATTGCAGACCACTTGCAAAAGCACAGAGCTGACCAGCCATGTGGAGGCTGTAGTAAGATTAATCTTCCCCACAGCTCATCTTGATGTAAAATCAATCTGCTAGATTTGCTGCCACCATCCTCTTATAGGGAGATCTGTTTGGTCTGTTGTGATACAGGAAAACCACCCATTAGCCTGACAAAAAGAGGCTCTTGTCTTAAACACGAAGTAGCTTATTGCATGATGACAACTAGATACAAGTTAGAGATAGCCAGAACTGCCGATGCTGGAGTCAGAGATAACACAGTGTGGAGCTGGATGAACGCAGCAGGCCAGGCAGCATCAGAGGAGCAGGAAAGCTGACATTTCGGGTCTGGACCCTTCTTCAGAAATGGGGGAGGGGAAGGGGACTCTGAAGTAAATAGAGAGAGGGGGAGGCGATGATGGAAGGTGGATAAAGGAGCAGATAGGTGGAGAGAAGATGGATAGGTCAAGGAGGCAAGGATGGAGCCAATAAAGGTGAGTGTAGGTAGGGAGTTGGGATGGGGGTTGGTCAGTTGGGAGGGAAGGGCGGGTGGGCAGGAGGGAAGAAGGACAGGTCAAGGAAGCGGGGATGAGACTAGTAGGTAGGAAGTGGGGGTGGGGTTTGGTCAGTGAGGTGGGAGAAGCAGATAGGTGGGAGAAAAGACGGACAGGTCAAGGAGCTGGGCTGGTTTTGGGATGCAGTAGGGGATGGGGAGATTTTGAATCATGTGAAGTCCACAGTGAGACCATTGGGATGCAGGGTTCCCAAGCGAAATATGAGGTGCTGTTCCTGCAGCCTTCGGGTGGCATCATTGTGGCACTGGAGGAGGCCCAGGATGGACATTGTCGTCCAAGGAGTGGGAGGGGGAGTTGAAGTGGTTCGCGACTGGGAGGTGCAATCGTTTTTCACAAACCAAGCATAGGTGTTCCACAAAATGGTCTCCAAGCCTCCGCTTGGTTATGTTGGTGTGATAGACATTACAGAGATAATGAGGAGACCTCGACGTTACTTCCTCAAGAGTTGACGATGCCTTGATAGATTCCTTGAAACATCATCACTGTGGGCTGTGCAACAGAGACTAACATTGGAATTTGGTTCAACAAGATTCAGTGCCAAACTACAACATCGAATATGTCCAGAGGAAGGCTAGAGATGTCACTGCTCCTGGGGCTCTCCCAAGCACCAACAATGACATAATGAACTGCCTGTTCTGTGGACATTCAGGCCAATACCATTTGCACGCTTCAGGCATCAGAGAACGTACAGAAGACATTCACCCTTTGAATCCAAACAACAAAGAGTCTACCATAATGATGATCCAATAGGTGATGTATGCCTCTCCAATCCTCAATATGGATCGACATGTCAAGGCAATCATGGAAATCATCTTCAAAGTTTCTTATTAAGGACAACTGCTGAGAAATGTAATTGAAAAATCATTTTGTTAAATCATGTCTCTTGATATTGAAATGATAACATTCCCATTACACTAGACGCATTAGTTTAAAGAGTGTATCAGATTGGTCGAGATTTACTTTGCATAACTGCAAAATAATGCACTAAACATATGGAGCACAGAACTGTCAGCATGGATTGTGGGTTGCTCACAGGCAAACACTGATCATTCGATTATCCTAACATCAATCAGTGACAGAGAAGTGTTTCAAAGTTAAAGTCATACCAACTTCTTGTTTTATGAATTGGTAGCAGTAATAGCAGTTTTAACTTATTCCTCCTGACCAACAATAAAGACAATGATTTATAACAATTGCTTTTGCTCCCAGTCTGATTTTGCTATTTGCTGAAGTCAATAATGGGATTATCAGGTAGAGTGTGAAACTGATATTGCACCCAATCTTATGGGGTTTCTGCCCAGAAAGTTAGGTAACAGCCTGCACTCCCACTCCTGACATATCTCTTAAATTTAAGTTTTTTGTAGCACAATTTATTATATGGTGTTAATGTAGTTTTCCTGTGCATATATCCTTATGTTGTGGAGATTTATTTTGTATTTGTCATTATTCCCTTTGGTTATGTACTTGCAGTTTAGAGTGTTGGGTATCTGAAGGGTGGGGGTTAGTGGGGGAGGCAGAGGTTTGTGGGGATTAAGCTGGCCTAGTAATATGTGTTTTGGGGATGGAAGGGTATAATATGCAGCATTATAATTCAGGGCAGGGAGTATGTAATCGATATTTCTAAAGACAGTGAAAGCCCAGTCAATTAACAGGATTGGGAAATTGTCTGTTCTCTTGATCACCATCTGTTCTGAAGCACTCGGGACCTAATAGCCCTCAATCAGGAATAGTTCTTCTTCCTTGGTTCTTCCAATGACATCTGTCTCCATTGTTCCCCACTTACAAACCCCAATCCCCTTGACCCTCGTTCTTCTCCTCTTCCCCCAAATTCCATTTCTCAGATTCCCTTTCTTCCTCTTCCAAATTGCAGCAGTCTTGCAGCTGTCAGAAATATTCATCCCATCAGCCCTTGACTTGATTTGAAACCGTGTACCACAGTGTCACCTGTTCCCAAAGGATTCCTTTTATAATAATAAAGGAAAATTATTTTGAAAGTGTTTCACCTCTGCAGGCCAGTCTATTATTCACTTTAATATAATGAGTTCACCCAATGAGCTAAGAATATCTTGAGCCTTCTTTACCATATTCTTATATGATAACACTGCATTCCACCCAATTGAAACTGCATAACAGGCTTATTATATATATGGGTTTCTTCCTATGAGTTTCAGTATCCAATTATTTGAGTTATTTTAGGAGTTTATCAGTAAATTCAAAATGATCAGAAATAGCCATTTTCATCTCGCTGTAGTGTGCCTGCATAATAAGCAATCCCTCTCTGAGGAACACACAGTCAACTTGTTTTCTTGACAGTAACCCATTAGAATCCCACCTCAGTAACTGTTGCCTGCAGCTATCTTCCAGTCAGAAGTAAACAATTCATGTAAAGTATTAGATAGCAAATCTGCTTGAACATACTAACTGCTTGGTGTGCTTCCTCTTTACATGTCGAGCAGCTTCAGAATGCTGTCATTCAAAACTTTTAACATACATTTCTACTAGTTATAGTAAACCATGATTTAGACAATGTCATATCTGCCCTTCTCCAATTATGATTTCAGTTTAATGTAATTGGGTAGACTGGTGAACATGACAGATGCTATGACTAGCTCATGATTGTGGAGAACCAAATATAACCTTCAAGATTGTTTCAACTCTATTTTAAAAATATTGAAGTATGATTTAATAATCTCATCTACATTGCTAAGCAAGGCATTAGGTCAGTCTTTAAATTAACTTAATGAGAAAGCATAAATGCCAGGTCTTTGTAATCTGTTAAAGAAAGCAAGATCTTATGCAAACAGAAACATTAGAATCACCGACATTGTCAACAGTTTTGGATTGAGCAAACTAATGTGAATTCTTCAGTCTCTGTGT